CTCACTTGGTAGCCCAGGCTGGCCTCGAACTCACAAAGATCCGCCTGGCTCTGCCTCCCGAGTGCTGGGATTAAAGGCCTGCGCCACCACCGCCCAGCAAGAATTCTTATAGTTCCAAAAAGATGTTTTATTTTGTTTTTGTGTGTATCAAATTTATTTTGAGTTCTTGATCTTTTGAAGAGAGGGCTAAAGTCCCAGATGTTTGCTTTCACATCTTTATGTGATTTGTGGGCTTTCTTAGAGCTTTCTAATTTTCTGTGAACTTTATTTTGTGGTCTAGAAGCTGAATGGAAGCATCAGCAGATCTTAGGATTCCTTAGTATAATTTTTAAGTTCTTTATGACTTTAAAAAAGAATTTCTCGCCGGGCGGTGGTGGCGCACGCCTTTAATCCCAGCACTCGGGAGGCAGAGGCAGGCGGATCTCTGTGAGTTCGAGGCCAGCCTGGGCTACCAAGTGAGTTCCAGGAAAAGGTGCAAAGCTACACAGAGAAACCCTGTCTCGAAAAACAAAAAACAAAAAAAAAAAAGAATTTCTCATACCAGCGTGTGCTTGTGGATGTCAGAGGAGGACTTCTGGAGTCCATCTGTTCTCTCTTTCCTCCATGGGGTCTAGGGATCTAAGTTGGGTCAATAGACTTGTGCAATAAGTACCTTCACCTGCCTAGCCATCTCACTGGTTCTAGTTATTTAATACCTTCCTTCATCTAAGATTAGAAAAAGAGATGTGGTCTACTTAGGTTTTCAATGGCAAGATACACATTTTAAATATTTTTTTGAGAGCCGGGCGGTGGTGGCGCACGCCTTTAATCCCAGCACTCGGGAGGCAGAGGCAGGCGGATCTCTGTGAGTTCGAGGCCAGCCTGGGCTACCAAGTGAGTTCCAGGAACGGCGCAAAGCTACACAGAGAAACCCTGTCTCGAAAAACCAAAAAAAAAAAAAAAAGAAAAAAGAAAGAGTAAATATTTTTTGAACTGATTTATATGAAATAGGAATTTATTATAGTGGTTTTAAAAGGCCCACATATTCCTTCAAGAAATAACTCAGGTCTGAAATGCTTTTGGTTTCTGTCTTTCATAGTGATTTGGTGCTTTTTCAGTCAGATCTTGAATTATAAATCTTAAGATATTTTGCTCATTAGAAAGAGAAAATGTGAGTGGAGAAGATGGCTCAGTGAGCCACACAGGCCTGATAACCTTGAGTTCAGAACCAGCATAAAAGCTGAAACAGTAGCACAAGTAGCTGTAATCCCAGATTGCCACTGTGGGAAGATGGGAGGCAGAGACAAGAATTTCTAGAAGCTGGTGGTCTAGCTCTTGCAAGTGGCATAGAGACTCTATCTCACACAAGGTGGAGAGGCAAGAATTGACACCTTCAGTTTACCCTTTGACTTCTACGTGTATGTGGAGGTACATGTATGTGCATGCACACACATACATGAAAAGCTCCTACCACGTATGGTGAGTTATGCCTTAATTTTAGCAGTGGAGAGACAGAGACAAAAAGATGGTCATTTCAAGATTTCAAGGCAAATAGGAGTCTGAGACTGGGTTATTCTCGAGTTCAAGGCCAGCCAGGGCTACATAGTGATACCCTGTCTTAAAAAAAAAAAAATTTTTTTTTTTTTTGAGATAGCTCTTTAATCTGTTTTTTCTGTTCCTATCACAGGGTTAATGCGAGATGATACAATATACGAGACTGAAGATGTGAAAGAAGCCATAAGAAGGCTTCCTGAGAATATTTATAATGACAGAATGTTTCGAATTAAGAGAGCTCTGGACCTGACCATGAGGCATCAGATCTTGCCTAAGGAGCAGTGGACAAAATATGAGGAGGTAGAACAGGTTTGCTTTTTCTAAATAACAGTGTTTGTCACTCAGCATGCAGTATTAGAAACAGGAGAAACACTCATTTGGGCAGTGCTTTAGTGTTCTCCAAGTCATGCTACAGAAATAGCATTTCAACAGCAAGTGAGCTTAGCAGAAAACTATCAGCTCTATTTTAAAGAACAACATGGAGAGACTTTGAGCTGAAGTGACTTTTAAAATTACTATGCAGCCGGGCGGCGGTGGCGCACGCCTTTAATCCCAGCACTCGGGAGGCAGAGGCAGGTGGATCTCTGTGAGTTCAAGGCCAGTCTGGGCTACAGAGTGAATTTCAGGATAGGCTCCAAAGCTACACAGAGAAACCCTGTCTCCAAAAACAAAAACAAATAAAATAAAATAAAATCACTAAGCTAGTCTGTAAAGCCTGGTCTAGAATCTAGGTTTTCTGCCTCGTGGGCCATTTTTTCTTCCCTCTACTCCAGTTCCTGCTCTAATCAAAAGAGTTTCAGTTTAGTTATATAAAGACCCTGAGTGATCTTCTAGTTCCTAGCCTGGACATCATCATTGAAACCTGGCAAACCTATAGACATAGTTTTTTCCTTGGTACTCCTTCTGACCTCCTCATTGCATGATCTTTGTGAGGTGTTACATTTAAAGAGCACAGAGTTCCTAGAAGTTCAGATTATATTTTCTTATGTTACAAGGAAAAAGTTTGATTGTAATGAATTTGAGATTTAAGACCTATTATTTTTCTTCTTCATTCTTTAGGACAAATTCTACCTTGAACCTTATCTGAAAGAGGTTATTCGGGAAAGAAAAGAGAAAGAAGAATGGACAAAGAAGTGATCTTGTAGTTGAGATCTGTGGATGTGCCTGGCCTTAGCATGTTTTTATGAAGTTTCAACTTGAATCACAATTTAAGAATTATTTGCTCTGCAGAGGCCTCTCTTTAAATAAATGTCTATTGTAACCATTGTTGGAATGTTTGAATTTAATTCAGACTCTTAATCTGATACTTTTTGTAATCACCTGCTTTTTTTTTTTTTTTTTTTTTGGGTTTTCGAGACAGGGTTTCTCTGTGTAGCTTTGCGCCGTTCCTGGAACTCACTTGGTAGCCCAGGCTGGCCTCAAACTCACAGAGATCCACCTGGCTCTGCCTCCCAAGTGCTGGGATTAAAGGCCTGCGCCACCACCGCCCGGCTGTAATCACTTTCTGACACAATTTTTTCCACACTTCTAAGGTGTTTTAGTTGCTGTTTAACTGCTTGAAGATGAGAAAGGCTGCTTTAATCATCTCTTCATTGGCTAGATAATCAGCCAGGTTACTAAAAATATATCATTTTATACAAGCCGAATAGTCTGCTTTAGACGTTGTGGGCTAGTGAGACACTGGGAAGTCATAGCAAGGCCTAAACTGCAGGTTGAGATGAAGGAAGAGGCAACCATCACTGGACAGATAGGTCCAAAGTGACTTAGGAAAGGAGGAAATCTTTCCCAGGACATGAGACAGTCTTTCCCAACAAACGGCTCTCTACTTAGATTTATTTTGCATCCTGCCATCCCAATCTGGGCTCATATAACTTCTCTGTATGTACAGGTGCACATGCTCCTTTGCTGATCAATTAAAAAACAACACCCCCCCCCCCCCCCCGGAAAAAAAAAAGCAGGTATTAGGACAATAGGGAAAAACACAAAGACAAATTATACTTTCTTTTAAATGTTCCTTTAAGAACTAGGTACATGAGCTGGGCGGTGGTGGTACACGCCTTTAATCCCAGCACTCGGGAGGCAGAGGCAGGCAGATCTCTGAGTTCAAGGCCAGCCTGGGCTAGCAAGTGAGTTCCAGAAAAGGCGCAAAGCTACACAGAGAAACCCTGTCTCGGAAAAAAAAAAAAAAGAACTAGGTACAGAGCTAGGCTAGTGTGCATGTCTAATCTTAGCACTCAGGAGTCAGGACAGCCAGGGCCACACAGACTTTCAAAAACACCAAAAAGCAAAACAACAGAAAAACCAACTAGGTAGTAAGCAGCAAAGAGTTTTCAGCTCATACGCTAATTTACAAATACAAATGAGTCACTGCTGCTGTATTGTGTGAGGTTCTTTGGTGGAGGTAAGAGCTGGGACTGCTGTGGGCACTGCATGAAGAGGAATATCTGCTGTGGGGATCCACAAAGACCAGATGGAAGAAGAGGGATGTTTTCTATTACATTTAAAGTTCATAAAACAATCAAAATGCACAGGTGCATTTGCATTCCTTTGACCCACCCCCCCCAAAAAAAAACACATACTGTCCTTTTAAAAATAATCCTAAGAGATTTTAAAGCCAGATAGTCTCAACATCGTAATGTACACTTGTAATAAAAATCCCAGCACTTGGGAAACAGATGGCAGGATTTGAGTTCAAGATCAGCTGGGTTGTATAGTGAGACTTTGAAAAAACAATATCTTAAAAGTTGTGCTAAAATATTAGCTAATTTATTATTTACTAAATTTTCAGAAAACTTTGATCCTCAATTATATTATATTTTGAAACTTATTCTTAAAGTTCTCAACACTTCTCTAATGAATTAGAGCCTTCCTAAAATGTTTTTGCTTGTGCAACTTGAAGGTACAGTGCACTGGAGAAGATTTATCCATTTTGTACCCTCACCAAATCTTTCTGGATAACAACATCTTGCAGGTTTATGGAATTTACTGCTAAGCTATGTATTGATGCAATGAAATCTAACATATGCTGTTATTTAGTTTGGGTATTTTATTACTTCAGTCACTTCTGACCATATTTCCTTTTATATGACTGCTCACTCTTTAAACACACCAGATGATTGTACATGGAACACTTAATAAAATTCATATGTGTTAAAATATAAGTGTTTTCACTTATTTGTCCTAATTTGTTTAAATTTTGGTTATATAGGTATTGGTGGAAAACACAGCATGAGCCAGTGAGACAGTTTAGAAGGTAAAGGTTCTTGCCACTAAGTTTGACAATCTGAGTTCAGTCTCCAGAACCCATATGGTAGAAGGAAAGAACTGACTACTGTTCATGCTCATACATTCATACCTACATGCAAACACATAAGTGTAAAAATATAGAAATTCTGATCTTAAAAAAAATCCCGTATCTGTAAGGACATTTCCAGAGAAGTTGAACTGAGACCAGCTCTGAAATTGGGTGGCGCCATCCTATGGCCTAAGGTCCAAGGATAAATAAAAAGGAAAAAAGGAGAAAGCAGCTGGGTGTTAGCATTCATCTACCCTTGCTTCTTGACTGTGGGAGCAATATGACCAACTTTGTTAAATTCCTGCCATATTGGGTTGATTATATGCCCTCAGACCAATGATTCTCTGTTGGGAGCCCTGCGGTCTAGTTTTAGACCAGTATATGAGTGCTTGTCCAACAGGTCCAGATGAGGTAAAAGCCCACAGGGACAGTCTTACTCGGCAAGGACCAGTGGACTTCAGGATACTGCAGGATACTGCTGGGACCACGCAGCCTGCATTCTCTCTTCTCTCTTGTGATATTGATGATTCTCTTGGTGGATTTAGTGTCATTTTGTCAATCTTGCATGGAACAGATGTGATCATTCCTGGAAACCCAATTTTTCTCCAATATTTTCCCCTAAAATTCTTTGGGAGATGATGCTTCTCAGGTTTCTTGTCTGGGGAAGCCAGCTGTCTGAAAGAGCCTGGGAGCTGTTCTGATTCAGAGCTGACAAGATCGGAGGCAGATCACACCTATTTCTGTAAATATGTTTTGAATGATATTGTTGTTCTTGAAAATGTGTGCCTATGTCAATTACCTTTTAGTTTTGTAAAGACAGGATGTACCCAACTCGATATTTGGCCAAGCCAGCAAAATGATAACTGTTGTTTTGGGTTTAAAGATGTTTTGATGTTAAAGTTGGGAAAAACACATTTGACATATTTGTTTTTGCTGGGGGTTAATGGAGGATGGAAAAAACATGTTTGTTATTATGGAAAAGCATGCTTGTTTTTGATGTATAAATAAAGATGGCTGGAGCTAAAGAAAAAATCCATAGCATTTTAGAATCAGACATCTGATGATGTACATGAGTTCAATTTTGCTAAAAAACTTGCTTGTCTCTGTTAGTAATTGATCATGAATAGCTGAATCATTACTAAGTAGCTACATTTTAGCCTATATGCTAGAAAGTCTGTTGATTTGAGTGTTTTGTGACAATGTATTTAAAAAATTCTGGATTCTTACTAAATCTACAGTTAAAAAAAAAAAAGTATCATCTGAGCCAAAAGGGGTAGTAACTTCTTTTCAAAGAGTCAGCATGTAGTTTCTTTCTATTTAAATTTTGCTTTGCCACAAGCTGGAAACTCAGGTATGATGTCAGGGAATCAGCAAGGCTAACCTTTATAGTCACAGTTCTTCAGCTATGAAAAGAAGGGATTTAGAGGATGCAGCAGGGTTGACCTTTATAGTCATAGCTCTTCAGTTACAAAGTGAAGGGATTTGGCTTCAGAGTTGTTATAACTCATTTCAGCACTTTTTGGGGAGACTTTGATTAGTCTTTGTACTTTATTATGAAAATGAACTAATAGTGATGAAACGCCAGCTTTCCAGACATTGCTTCTATATTGTCTCACTTTATCTTCTTTGTATTATCTTGCCATAGATCTTATTTTGCCCATGACATGGAGTAATAAATTAGACTTTAAAGGTTCATTTAACACACATGCACTTGCACACACATGAACACTGACACAAATGTTCATTTTAAATCCATACATTGTGGCATGCAAGTGTAACTCCACGTAGCATTTGGGGAGCTAAGACAGAAAGATCTCCAGTTCAAGTCCAGACTGAGATGCTGGGTGAAACTAAACTACCAAAACCAAAGTTCATTTTGCCCTGTTTCAGTGTATAATTTTGTGGAATTTGGGGAGAGAAAGTATATGTATTTATTTTCAAGACAAGGGGGAACCAAATATAGTGCATGATTTCTTATTAACATTTTGGGCTGAATAGCTCATGGAGAACTATCTAGAACCTTTGGCTAGCAACATCTTTGCCATCTCTACACTAAATACTGTTACCAACTTCCCCCTCAGTTGTTCAAGTAAGAGCACTTGATACTCTTGCAGAGGACTAGGGTCAGTTCCCAGTACCCAAATATTGGCTCATAACTACATACTTACCTGTAACTACAGTCCTAAGGACCTACTGCCTTCTTCAGACCTCCATGGACACCAAGCACATACATGGTACACATACATACATGCAGGCAATAACACTTATACACATAAAATAAATAAACATAAGTTGGGTTTGTTTTTTTTTTTAAGACAGTGTTTCATTGTGTAGTGCTGACTGTCCTGGAACTAGCTCTGTAGAACAGGCTGCACTCAAACTCATCGAGATCTACCTGTTCCTGCCTCATGAGTGCTAGTATTAAAGATGGGCACCACCAACTGCCACCTAAAATAAATAAATCTTAAAAATAAATATTTGTGTATATTGCCAAACGCTACTGGCGGGGGCAGAATTTCCCCCACTTTGAAAACCACCAATGTAGAGGATATAAGAATAAAAGCCAACATAGTAGAGACAAATATGTAATTAGATATATAAATGAATATGAACATAGCATGTAAATTATCTACAACAACTATGTACTTGGTGCAATAAAAACATGAAGAAGAGAAACTGACTCATTGGATTAGGGTCACTTAAAATCTGACATCTTATCTATTTCCAAAAGAGTGAAACTAGCCAAGAAGGAGGTAAGGGGCTTTTCAAGTAAAGTGATCAGAAAATGCTCCAAGGCACAGCAAGTTTTGAATTGATGGAGTGACAAATATCAGCTGGGGAGATGTGGGAGAAGGAACTTGAAAGTTATATTCTGTGTGGAAAGTCATGTTGAACAGATATTTAATGTTCAAATCTTTTTAAGTTTATAAAAATAACCTATTATCCTTCAAACAATTCTGCAAAGCCCCCT